AAGTCATAAAGAATGCCTGACGCAATTTATTTTTCCCCTTATAATTATTTTGAAAAACGACATACCATACTAATTCTAGTAATACAGAATGGTACTCACATGTGTCTATATGTGTCCTTCAACTTAATGTTTGCGTTGGCTGCTAATGGCCAAATTTGAAAATCGCCTAATTTGAATATGCTAGCATTCCGACAATCCTTAAATATTTTTGACTCCTTGCCTGAAATGACATTCCATACTAATGGACATAAATTTGACGAAGGAAGTATCTATATTGTTTTGTGGTATATCAGCCCTTTCTAAATGTTTTCTCCCCTTTGCTTCAACAATTCATTAGTAATTTTGCAAATAATGTATTGTGACAGAAATGCACTTTGTATATTTTTTGTAACTACTTAAAATTAAATAATTCACCTAACATAATTAACCTTATGGCGTTTTAATTTGCGAAACTATGTTAAGAAAAAAGTGCAACTCCCGTTACTTCTTTTGTATATTAAGATTGCATTAGACATCCAACTGCTGTTAAAAAATTTGTACCAGAGTATTTTCTCTTAATCACGCTGCATAACTTTCTCAATTAAATGTGCTAACCATTATTGAGTTTATCAAAGAGGATATTTCTCGAATAATAACTCTTAGGATTCATTTAAACAGCTGATGCATTTAAGTGATTGAGAGATAAGTTGTGCAATTAGCGTAAAATGGTAACAGCCGCAATTTCAACAACTATTGTTATTCTTAATTCATTTTATTCTGATTGCGATTCTAAAATATCCAAATTAATGATACTTCCTAGACAATACTATTTGTTTTTAGAGCTACCAATTAAGGCAAGGATTATAGCAATGCCTAAATGTTATATTATTTATGTTTGTGACTTGGAAATTTCTGTTGATATAACCCTTTTGTTTTCATGCGTAATTTGATGCTAAATTTATCTTTGGCGGCTTCTTTGCAATAATTTTTAATTATTTCTTGATTTTTTTTATAATGCTTATGTTTATCTCGAATTATTGATAATTTTTTAAACAATTCTTCTGCCAATTGCCTATTAGATTCACTTAATAAGAAGATCCTTTTACAAGGCTTTTCATCCAACTCAAAGTATAGAATGTCTTGATAGCTACATGATATTAAGTACCTATAATAAAAGCTCACCACTCTAATCTCAATGTTTGGTATATAACTGATTATATCTCATTTACATATTCTTACGGATGCCTGTGGTATTTCAAATTGCTCTAGATTTATTGTATTCTAAGTTTTGAATTAGTTTTAAATTAATTCAACGCTTTACTGATTGCACAATTTGTTTAACATCTTTAAAGCTTGTTAAACTTTTCCCCTTTTTTGTACTTTATGCTTCACTTCACCTAGTGCTAAAAATGTTCATGTTCAAAATCCCAGGGTTAATATGAATTGATTTGCATAATTAGCCATCCTTATTCACATTTTTTATACCACAATAAATTCACAGCAATAATCAATTTTATTTTGACTTTAAACTCTTTGATAATGTTTGCTTTCAGCTACTTATTTCTTCAATACTCTGCTGGTTATCCCAAAGATACTCTAATTATTCCAACTGTTCAAAGCTTTGCACCATCTATAACTTTTGTACTAACTTATGAATATGGATTTTATCTAAATTCAAGTCTACCTACAACATATATATATATACTTGTTTGTTTAACTTGTTTTAATAATATTATTCGTAGGCTCACTAGGGACCAGTCAAATAATTACTTTCTACTTCAGCTGTTGTGCTATATTTATTTAATACTGGCAAAGTATGAATGTCATTAATTACTTTAATGAACTATTTATAGAACAAGTTGTCAACGATTTATCCCATGATATTTGCCTCAACTTTGTTCCTCTATTAATTTCAACCTTCTGGTTCACTCTCCATCTGTTTTGTTATAATGTCTGAAAATCATAATAGTTCATAATCTCTTATGATTACTAACAATACGATATAAAAAATTGAAATTATTTTATCATTGTTGAAGTTAATTGCCTACTCGCGCTCTAGGTTTGGGTTTGGGTTTTGGGTTTTGGGGTTGGGTTTGGGGTTGGGTTTTGGGTTTTGGGTTTGGGTTTGGGTTTGGGGTTGGGGTTGGGGCGT